GAGGTAAGTATAGACCTACCCTTTATCTAGTTGAACCAAAAAGGGAATTGGAGTCAGGATACTGGGGTTAATATCTTGACTCCTATGAAAAGTGCAAGAGGAAGCTTTAAGCAGAAGATGGCAGCTCCAGCAAGAGTCCCTAACCTCAGGCACTGTGTACAGTGGCACTGATTCAGTACTGACTATAGGGAGCAAGCGGCACCACAGCACCTACTAAATTGTCAACACTACATCTTGCAGCTCCTGGATTTTTGTTAGATGTCTCTAAGTACTGACCTGGGTTGACCCTACTACTTAGCTTGAAAGAGCCGATAGCATTCACACACTAGTGTGACTGCAGTGTTAGCATGTTAGACTGAATGGGAGTCCCATATCACCTTATGCCATATGTAGGAGTCACTCTGAAATCCAGAATGAATTTAATCACTGTTTAAATGGCTAATCATTACATTTTAAACATGATTTTTAAAGTTCTGCACTGTTCAGCAGAATCAGGATCTACTAAACCTAGGAGATAATGATTTTTGATGCAGTACGGCATAAATTAGATTTAAGTTTATACATGTTTAATTAAAATCTGGTTTTCATCAAGGTTAAATTTGGTGTCATCTGAAGTACATCATCATTCAGCGGCATACTGCCAAGTATTGGTGTTTTTACAACTTCCGCTGGGATTTAAAAATCTAATCCACACATAAGATTTATTTAAAAAGCCTTATGATTACATGCAGTGGTTGGGTAAACATTCAGTCTCAGCAGGGGAGAAGACCTGCATCTTCTGAATTTACAGAAGCAGGTTATTGACTTGACATCTAATGCAAAGTTAATATTTACCTTAGACTCCTTAGTTTTATCTTCCACTGCTCAGTCCTCTGTCTTCGTAAATGGTAATTTCAATCTGCACAGCATGGCTGTTAAGAAAACATGCTATATAGAAAAATCATGGAGATAAAACAGGCAAGTGAAACAAAGCAAGGCAGTGAAGCACTTGATCTTTCAGCCTCACATCTGCCATTACAGAGAGGGAATTTTGCTAAATTTCTGAACTATAGTAAGCAAAACATTCTTCGTGGCTTTTGGCTTTGCATTCTGGCCGGTGCTACAACCTGCCTTTAGACAAAAACGTCTGTTTGGAGGCATAAAGATTTTGTAATATTGCAGTAAAGCTGTTAACATTTTTATGAACAAAAAGCTTGGTCATTAGGCAAGTTTTTGCTTTGCACGCTTCCGCTGTTCAATTATTAATCAAATTACCAAATTAAATCACTATTTACAAGTCTGTTTACCAAATGCAAGTGACTTTTCTGTACTTACAGTTCCCCAAAAAATGCACAGCACATCAAGGGTAATGAAATTACACAACTGACAGCTGTAAGCTATTTGGGCCACTACTCAGATAAACTCAAGGAACTGCAATTAATTAGGATGACAACTCACCACACACTATGAGCCTATGCATTTCAAAGGGGCTTTGAGTTCAGAATTCTTGACAGATGAAATGTATTACTCATACTTCCTCTTTTATTGCTACAAGATGCCCCCACAACCACCAAGAAAAATGGTAACTAGAATGCTAAGCCATTTGCAGTGAGGTCCAAAGCCTAGAAGAAAAGTTGTAGGGAGAACAGCTGTAGCCAAGAGCAAAATCCAGGGGGACAGACCTCACCACTCAGGCAGATTGTGGAGGAGATTTTACCATAGGCACCAGTGGGAGCAACAATGCATTGTTTCTAAGCCAAGACCAACATTTAAAATAGTTCTACAGAGCATTTACGTTCCATGTTTTATTTCTATTAGGAAGTCAGCTAGCCTTTCTAAATGGCTAAGTTGCATCTTCCAGAGGTAGCTGAGGTTGAAGGAAGATACTCTGCTTCTGAATAGCACCTAAGAAAGCTCCAAGGAACAGATTTATCCAATTCATATTTTATTAAAGAGACTTTCTAAATGGATAGTAATTTTATCCTAATAAAGTTTGAGAGGAACAGCTGAGTATGTTACACATGAGACCTTATAAAACACATACTCCTTGGTGTTTATAACATCACAGAATCATGGGTGCCTGCAGCATGCAATGCAGCCTCTGTGAGGTAAGATGCACTATTACCGCTCTGAGGACAGAATTCAGAAGAGGATTAAGAAGCCATAAAAAGATACAACTCTTAGTCCTCTCTCGATGGGGTCCGTCAGGAGGAGGCCCTGGGGTGCGTAGATCTTCTCATTCTGTTCCTGAATGAATTTGGCAATTTTCTTAAGAACCTGGTGACAGAACACACAGACTTTACAGTTTTTCCGTTTGAGTTTTCACATCAGCCTTCCTTTAAAAGCCCCATCTACACTACAAATACAACCAGGTCAGGGAAGACCTAGCGACCCAGCTCCACTAACACAGCTGGGACTGTAGTCCTTTTGCATAGCTAGGCTATTATTTTTTTCTTTTCTGGCAGGAAGCGGGTGGGAAGGATACATGGGTAGTGTCTTGTCTATACCAGCGCTGAAACTATATTGCAAGGAGGCAAGGAGGTCAGGAGACAGCTGTATCGTAACAAGATTCTCTGGCAGGGGTACATTTGTATAATAGTGTGTCTGTGCTACAGGAGGTTAATATAGGCTATAGCCTGGAAAAGAGACCTGTATAGTGCTATGAAAATATGCAGTTTAAATTACTCACAAGCAATTTGCTTACTATATGTCATGGTGTGGCTCTAAAAGAGAGAGGAGGCCCCTTTCCTTCCATGTCAATTTCCCATTAATAATAGAATGCCAAATACCAAGTGCTGATCTTAGCTACTCCAAAAATAACTGTTTCCCCCCTACATGCTTCTTCCACAGATTCAGAGTTCAAGGCCAGAAGGAGCAATTAAATCATCTAGGCAGACCTTCTGTGTATCACAGGTCATTAAATTTCACCCAGTTACCCTTCTATTAAGCCAACAACTTGTGTCTGGCTAAAGTATAACTTCCTGAAAGGCATCTCGATTTGAAGACTTCAAGAGATGGAGACTCCACCACTTCCCATGGTAGTTTGTTCCAGTGGTTAATCATCCTCACTGCTAAGCCTTATTTCTAAATTGAATTTGTCTGGCTTCAGCTTCCAGCCAGTGGTTCTTATGTCTTTCTTCACTAGATTAAAGAACCCTTTAGTACCTAGTATTTTCTCCCCAGGAAGATACTTAATACACTAATCAAGTCCCCTTCTCCATCTTCTTTTTGACAAGATCAATAGATTAAGCTCTTCAAGTTTCTTACCATAAGGAGTTTTCTCCAACCCCCAAATCATTTTTGCGGCTCTTCTCTGTATCTGCTCCGATTTTTCAACATCACTTTTAAAATGCTGACACTAGACCGGTATGTGGCATTCTAGTTTCAGTCTCACCAGCGCCACATACAAAGGTAAAATGAAATAACCTCTGTGCTCCTATTCACTACACCCCTCTTCATACAGCCAAGGATCACATTAGCCCTTTTTGTCAGAGCACTGCGCTGGGAGCTCATGTTTGGTTGCCTGTCCGTTATGATCCCTAAATATTTTTTTCGAGTCACTTCTTTCCAGAATACAGTCCCCACTGTGTGTAGGTATGGCCTGCATTCCTTATTCCTAGATGCATTTTTACTACAGTTTAAATGCAAAATTATACATTTTGTTTGAATGGGCCAAGGTTACTAAGCGATTCAGATCATTCTGTGAGATTGCCCTTTACTCATTATTTACTACTCCACCAATATGTGTGTCATCCACAAATTTTATAAGTAGTGTTTTTGCATTTACTTCTAGATCACTGATGAAAATATAGAAAAGCATCAGGCCTTCTTTGCGCCATCTGTTCTATTGCTTCGACTCCTCTAGTCCAACAACCGTCTCTTTACCGGATAGCACTCTTCTCCCCCACCCTTCAAAAACTCAGAGATGCTGTTGCTGTCTCCTAATCCAACAAGTCCTGCTACATTAAATGGGGGGGGTGACACTTGGATGAGGGAAGGCAGTTTTGAAGGGGTTGAATTCTGCTGGTTGTTGGGTGGGGTGTAAAACTACTATTTTATATTTTGTTCTAATAACTTATGGCAGGAGTACCCAGTGTCTTGGGTAGCTGCTTATTTGTGTATAAGTCCACATAAAACAACCGTGTCTGCTGATGAACAATGTAGCTACTGCTTTTCCCTGCATGCAGGTCACCTTTGTGATGTACCAGTTGTCATCTGTCTGAGCAGCAGGAGTCCCAGGCCAGCATTCTCTTTAAATGAATCCTTTTGCATGTTAGCACAGAGCACTGCCCTTATCGAAATAGTGCCTGGGGCAAGTGCTAACTTGCATTTCTGGCCTATGCGTAAGCCAAGGCAAACAGACTGCACTAGTTTTATATAGTATAATTTCCAAACGCTTTGATCCAAATAGTTCACACACTGATTGTTAAAGTCAAAACAGAAGAGCCATCCATACACTTCTTGCTTCATACAGGTTCAGTCTACTTTGCCCCAGATAGGACCCTGATTAGTAGACTTAACGCAAACACAGGACAGGCTTTTAGACAGATGGTGTTGCTTTTGTCACTTCACTACAGAAACGTTTGGGAAACGGATAGCTTTCAGTGAATTATGTACTTGAAGTTATTTGATAAAAAAACTAACAGAACCCTAAAACAAGATCAAACCCAGCTTTTGCAGTTGGCTAAGCTCCAACATTACTTGTTCTACCAGTTTTATGGTATTTCCACAACCGCTGAGTCATGCATCTATTTAAATATTTAAGAGACATTAGAAAGAAAGGTGGGAAAATAAACTGAAAAGGGTTCTAGAAGATAAAAATACCAGAGTAGGAACACATAGTCTGCATATATACTGGGCCAAGAAAAATTAAATTACTTTCAGAGATATTAGATCTAATAGTCACCAGCAGGGACCATTAGATAATCTAGTCTGACTTCCTGTCTAACACAGGCCGTAGAATTTCACCTAGTTACCCTTGAACGGAGCCCAATAACTTGTGTTTGACTAAAACATATCTTCCAGAAAGGCATCCAGATTAGGACCAAACCAAGGAAGTAATTTCACCAAGGACACTTTAATATAAAGCTTTGCATAATGCAACTAACTTCTGGAAATTCAGATTATATGTATGTATAAAGCAAAGAGTATCTTGTTTTAAGAGAACAGACTACACACAGTAACAGCACAAAACCAATACAATCTCTGAAACAGTCTTAGCTGAGTGACTTGTATTTTATTAGCAGTGTGAAGTTTCACTTTGGTCTCTCACACACACTGCTCCTTCAGATTTATAGAAACCTCCCAAGTTTCAGTTCAGGAAGCTTTTACTAGGCAGAGTTTTGTTTCTTATCTCTCAATGGGTATGTGTCAGCTTTCTTCAGACACATAATGGAAGCAAGCAAGCCATAAAGATACCCAGCTCAGATCTCTCCAACTCTCCCATTTCCTGCTCAGTCAAGCCGCAAGAAGTGGAAACTAGAGATGTCATATCCATCTCACAATCCATTACTATTTAAGTCTCTTACAAAATGACTGCATGACTGATTTCAAATAAAGAATTCCTGAAATGCATCCATCCATACTCTGCTAAGGGTTACTACTTAGGGACACACTCTAGCTCGGTTTAATCAAATGTAAGTTTTGATGGATGAACTTTCTGGTGAGCTTTCCGCAATATTGCGTATTTAGAAAGCTATACCGATTAAAGAAAATGGCAAGATGATCACATTATGGAAATCAATCTTTTATTTTGAGAGGGTCAAAAAAGTTATTTGTAAAACCAACTAGATAGTCAAACAAATTACATAGTATAGTAGTAAGAGCAACAGACGCAAAGTTAGAGAGAGTTAGTCACAAGAATTAACCATCTCTTTGCTCTGTTCTCATTAGCATGACCAGGAATGCTGTGTTCTCCAATGAGATTTGAAAAGACAAATGATCTGCCTTGCCATCCCTGTCCCAATCTAGTTTTCAGTTGTAAAAAGACATTTCAGCTGGTGCAGCCTAAGGTTTAAAAAGTCACTCTTCTTACATCAGATAGGGCAAAGATATCTAGATAAATAAAATATCGCAAACAAGCACGATTTATCACCCAGGTCAGAAGGGATGGCAAAAGGTTTCTGTTCATTCTATTCAAGATTACTGCTGCATATTATATATGATTTGGAACATGTTTTTATTTCCAGTTAGCAATATTAAATTATCAGGCTCCTTTAAACTCTCCTTTCATTTAAAGAAGGGATACTGAATGTATTCAGATACTGACTTGACCATCTACTAACTGGCTTTGTGAACTCAGACTGCATAAAAATAAAATAAAGAGGAACTGCCAATACCAGATTCAGACCACATATGTAAGCATGGATGCATGTGGGTGTGAAAGTATGAATGTTTCTCTAGTTCTTCAAGCCAGTGTGTCAGGATGTTTAAACAAGAATGAAAATCTTCATTTTTAAAGAGAAGTTATCAGAGCACAACATTTCTATAATTTAGAATGATCTAGTCGTTCATCAAAGGACTGGAAGTCAGCAGTTCTGCACAGCACAAAGCAGATCACTTAAAATCTCTACCCTTGGTTTGACCTGTATAATGGGCATAATATTGATTTCACAAGAGGGGCATATGGACTAATCCAATGCTCAATGAAAAACTGGATTTTATTTGGAAATATTGTAATGGGTGTTGTATTGGGCCCTTAATGAATGTTTATCTGGAACTTGGAGAATCTCAAATAGAGGGTGTTGTATAAGTGTATGAGAGAGGTAGATTTGGAGTAGTTATACCCCCACCATCATCTACCTTAACATCTCACTTAAATCCAAACTCACAGGAAGACAAGTAGTAAAACAAGTAGTGGAAGACAAATAGAGGAAGATGCTGAAAAATAAGCTAACAGCAGCATAAACGCCAGAGGATTTGTGGTGGCGGACAAAAGCCAGTGACTAGTGTTTAGGGGGAATGAGGAGCCTTCCTTGGGCTACAGAGCTGTGGAGCAACTCTCTCCTCATCAGTAATTTAATCCCGTACGAAATTAACAAACATTCAGTGTAAAACTCTCTAGTTTAGTGTTTGTCTAATGGATTTTAAAGTTAAACATGATTGGGTTAGGAATGGTTCAACCAACTGGGCACACTGGGTGACAGATAGGTTGAAAATGTATCTCTGGCTTTTCTCCTAAAACTGCACATTATCTTTGTATGGTTATAGTTTATCCAAGCAGTAGGATGATCTCTTCACACATCTGGAACATGACACTTTATTTCTTTGCTACTCTCCAACCAGTGACTCAAGTTGGCATTTATTCCCTGCGTATATACTTGCAACTCTCCGATACAAGTGAGAGGAGAACAGACCAGGATTTTTCAGGAAGCTAGGCTAGCAGGTGAAAGCTTATTCTGTATTTGCACTACACTGATGAACTGTACTGTTATAAGAGAAAACCTTATAATCAAAGTTAAAAAGCAAAACACTTCTCCTGTTGACAGATCATAACTTTCACATACAACATTGTGAGTTTCATGTGCTGTAAGTTTATTGCATGAAATGTAACAGGCTCACCTTTTCATAATGTGTCTCCATACACAAAAAGACAGTATAGGCAGTCAGACAGGCCAGACATCCTTCAAGATAAGATTGGCCCCCAAGCTTCTCAGCTTCTGCATAAAGGTTATTTAGAGTTTGAACCGTCTCTTCAAACTGCTGCCTATCAATCTGAAAAAGAGACTGAATTTAACAAGACTGACCAGCAAATTTCTCATTCAGAACTCACTGATCCCCAATACAGAGATCTAGCTTCTGTGCTAGAACAGTCCATTAACCAGCAATGTCACCTCCAGACAGTTTCAAACACAACATGGAGAGCAAAGGTTTTGTTTAGGTACTGAATGACTTCCATAAATTGTAGCATTTGGTTAAATAGCAGCTAAGTGATCTAAAGTTATTAGATCAAATGTGTATTCCCACATTATTTATTTATTTAGCGTGTGCATAGTCATCTAGCCAAGCGATGGCATCTTCAGTGGCGTGATGCAGGTCTTCTAGGCCACCGTTGAACCTAGTCAGCAGGCATTCTTTGACAATGTGCTTCATTGTCCGTGTCTCATTTACAGCCCTTGTTTATACTTCATTATGTGTAAGTTGTTAGGTTCAAACTACAACCTAGTTGAAAACTGCTGATCTGGAGGGAAAGGTCCTCTAGATTTCAAAAATAAATTCTTCACTGAAGACCTTGACTATTTCGCATTACTATGGTAAAGTTGATCAACCAAGTTATTAATAAAATTAACAAGGAAAAAACAAGGTGATTAGTGTTCCCTACGGGGCAGGAGAGAAGGAAACAATACCCAAAGTGACATTTACCAGCTATAGAAGACAAGAGCAATTGGCAAGGAGGGGTTATTTTGTAGCTTAATAAAACATTACAATTGATAATAACAAAATGAAAGAAAGTACTTGAGAGGGTACTTGTGAGGCCACTGAAGTGCAGGCTCAGCAGAATAGCCTCACCATGAGAGAGCTCTGTGATAGACATAACTGCATGCTTTCTTTTTCACTGGCATAACAGATGTAGTTTGTGTTATTGTTACAAGGGACACCTTTCCTCAGGATTACAGAAAGCATAAATATCAATGTTTCATAAATTATGTGAATGAGCATTTTAAGCATATTGTTATGTCTAGATTTTCACATCAAAATCAAATGTCTTCTAATAATGATCAATGAACAACAACAAAAAAGAGCAGCTGACAAGAAATAAGAATTTATACTAATGAACAGAATTTCTACTTCTTTATCAAAAATAAAGATTATAGTCCACAGGAGAGTTGGGTGCACAAGGGATGCGGGATCTAGCCCTTAGCTTGCATTAAGATAAATGCATGAGCTTTAATACACTGCTTCTTATTCAGTGTTTCACCCATATGCGCAAAGTAAGTATTTATAATAAAGACTTTACAGTGTCTAGAGTAAGAGATTGAGAGTTAGGTAGGTTTAGTTGCTTTAATCAGACTTTATAATGAAAGGACTCCTCCCACACTGAGATGACGCCAAGAACACTCACCTCTGATTCTAATTATGCATGTTTCAGACTTTTTGGTATGAACTATAGGTTTATTGAACATTCTGTATTTTAAAGACTGTGAACAGCAAATGAAAGGTGGCAGAGTGATAGCCAGATAAAGTCTCCATCCCTTTCATAGTAGGATATTCAGAGTTGAAAGCAGACAAATGCAGACACAAACCACTTCTATATAAAGCAAGTTACGAAAGCTGGAGGGATCGGTTTACTAATATTTAAAACACATTAGATTTTATACTAGAACTTCATGTATAAATATCTTCCCCATAGTCAGAGCTCCCACACTCACAACCGCTCTTTAAGAACTGTATTGATTTACCTCCTAAAGGCTGCTAGTCTGGACAGGACTGTAGAGTTTTCAGCTATTTTATCCAGCTTTGAGGTGCCATTCTCACCCTTGCTACTATTCAGTTTCTTCTGTTAGTGACCAGCTACATTCCCAACACAAATCATGACACCGGAAGGCCTTCCTGAAAGGCACTGCTACGGATTGCTCCCTTATTGCCCTGTCCACACCCTTTTACTCAGTGACAAAGTATCACTTCACTGCTGCAATTACCTCACTAGCACAAGCCACTAGGTTGGCAGGAAAACATTCGTTACTACGTCTACATCTTTCTAACAATTTTCTAATAATTAACACTGAATGCACCCAAGATGACATTGTGCATTCCCATACTTTTGTGCATGAGAAACACACTGTTGTACAGTGCAGACTATCTAAGCATTCCCGCTACGAATTTGTTTGTATCTGAGCAAAAACCTCTCCCCTAAAATCAAAGATAGAAATTATAGAAAGTAACTGCTATAAAGCAATGGTATCCAATAGAAAAACAATGAATGATCCATTTCAGTTTATACTAAGAGCAAGAATAACTGGGCTGTGCATTAAAGCAGAGATACCTGTACCATGTAATATAAAAGTCAAATCACAATAAATAAATAAATAAATAAATAATTGGCTCTTACCTAGAACTTTGCCTTCATAGATCTCAAAGCACCTCACTGAGGTGGTAAGTATCATTAGCCCCATTTTGCATACAGGGACGTGAAAGAGGAACCAATCAATATTTTTGTTCAAACATATTAAAAAAATACTAATCAGAAAACCTCCGCTGTGACAGCCAGACTACATAGGTTAGGCCACAGCAAATGCAGCTCCCTAACAGTAAATTTAAGAAGTCAGATTATTAATGTGGGATGGAAGGCAGGCTCCATTTTTATCTGTGGTTAGTTTGGTACTATTTAAACCATAGTCCTATTAACTGAAAATAAAAGACAGAATGCAGCTTACAACCACTTTGATAATCTCATTTCCCATGGTGTCAAGTTTCTTCTAAGCAGAGGCCTTGGTTGAGGAAGTATTGGCAAAGTTTCATCTCTGAGACAGAGACAAAGCAGCGCCATCCACTGAACAAAGGCAGTTTGAGATTAACTATTAAAATTCATTTTTAATATATGGTTTCCAATTTAATACTCCATTACTCTTCTAGAGTGCCTCATTCAAGGATCCTAAAATCTTTAGCAAAACAATTAAAGGGAGAATCCATTTTGCCTGGATTTAAAATAAAAAAAAAAATCTATTCTGATTACTTGAATCAAGCAAGGTCACTGAAAGAGAGCAGAGCAAAAGATATTTCCTTCTATTTTGCCAGTTAGTTCACTTTAGAAAATGTTGTAAAACCACAAAAATTGGCAGTAGATCTCAGGTATGGTGTTATACTAGAGCAGGGGTAGGCAACCTGCGGCACGTGAGCTGATTTTCAGTGGCACTCACATTGCCCGGGTCCTGGCCACCGGTCCCGGGGGCTCTGCATTTTAATTTAATATTAAATGAAGTTTCTTAAACATTTTAAAAACCTTATTTACTTTACATACAACAATAGCTTAGTTATATATTATAGACTTATAGAAAGAGACCTTTTAAAAACGTTAAAATGTATTACTGGCACACGAAACCTTAAACCAGAGTGAATAAATGAAGACTCGGCACACCACTTCTGAAAGGTTGCTCTACCCCTGTACTAGAGACTACTTTTAACTCTTATAAAATTGGTTAGATTTCAAGCTGGTAGTGTCCCTTTAAGACTCAACCCCTCCGAGTTAGGTAGGTACAGCTTTTACAGATTTAGGAACTGAGGCACAGAGAGTAAAGTGACTTGTCAAAGATTACACAGTAAACCAGTCACTGAAGTAGGAAAAATAATAATAATAAAAAATAAGCAGTCTTGACTCCCTATCATCTACTCTAACTACCATTCCACAACTAACAACTCAAACTGATAAAAAAAATTGTGCACAGGGTAGTTTGTATAAGCACGTAGGAAGCTGTCACCTTAGTTATTGGGAAAACACTACATACATGGTTGGCTGTAAATGATAAAGGACTCATTCTGTACACATCCTATCACATCCCCTTCTTCGGGCACAGGAAGCAAGGAGGAATGTATAGCACATAGGCTCTCTGGTCACCCAAGTGCAGCTAGCTCAGGCCTTTCTTGATCCTGTCCTTAACACAATCCCTGATAAGTTAAAACAAAACTTTTACCCTGTTTTCCAGCTCCAGGGGGAACTTGGTCTGGAACTGGCACCTGGTGCCACTACTGTAGTCTCGCTGGACAAAGACTTTACCAGAAACAGGTGCCTGCTGCGGCCGCATGGCACAGTTGGAACTGGCTGTTCTGTGAGAAGAAACAAAGGGTCCAACACATTACATGATCACCACCAGAATCACCCTAAAATTCAGCAGTACACCAAACTGCCCCCCGGACCTACAGCCCAGCCACAGGGATGAGTTTCCAGGCAGTTTGTCCTATCCCTCAGCAGAGCAGCTGTTTTATTGTCAGTTTCAATGAGAGTGTTGAAATCTCCCTCATTCCAACTGTAAGCTTGAAACTGACCGGAAACTCACCCCCTGCCCTGCCTGGTTATCCCATCCCCGCAGCCCACCCGAGAGACCCACCTCCCTTTCACTCTGGAACAAGAACGCCCAGGAACCCATTTCCTCTGCAGGTCCCCTGCCCACTCACACTCCCCCCAAACCCCCACCCCCGTCCCTCAGCCCGTCCCAAACTCCAACCCCCCCACCCCCGTCCCTCAGCCCCTCCCCCGTCCCAAACTCCAACCCCCTTCCTGACGCCCCAATCGCAGCCCCACCAAGGACACTCCCCCCCGAACTCCGGCCCAAGGGGCCCCCATCCTTACAGACAAAGCCAAGCCCCCTACTCCCTCCAGTCCGACTCCAGCGGCTGTCGCGAGCACTCACTTACGACTGCCGTAAAAGCACCACCCCAGCTTCGCTGAGAGTCGTACGTCAGGAGCCCTGCGCACGCGCCACTCCCACTGGGTGTACAGTTGGGCTGTTGTACGCATGTGCCAGCCTCTGCGCCGGGAATGAGATTCTGCGCATGCGTCACTCTTCTGTTCAGGGGCTTGTACCCTATCATGGGCCCGTAGGCTCCCCGTGGCGCCTCAGGTCCCGCCTGGCGGCACAGCTCCACCTCGCCGTGGCACAGACCACGTACACGGCGTCTAAGGTACGGTCTCCCCTCCCCATGGCACAGTCCACATGCACGGTCCCTCCCCCTCCCCATGGCACGGTCTATGGTACAGTCCACATGCACGGTCTTCCCTCCCCATGGCACAGTCCACATGCATGGTCCCCCTTCCCCATGGCATAGGCTGTGGCATGGTCCCTCCCACCTGTGGCCCATCTCAATGGCAGTCCCATGTGGCCCAGCCCTTTCTCCCCGTGGCACTGGCACGGTGTCTGTGGCAAAGCCTCATAACCTCTTGGTGTGGCCCCTTACCTGAGAGACACGTTTGACAGATCAATGCAGGCTGATAATATGATTGTTTAGCTGGGTTACTCCACTCCCTCCCTCCCTCTGATTGTGATCAGTTTCCAAGTTTGCACTGGCAGGAAATTTAATACACTTAATATTTAAGCATTAAGAAATTTAATAATCATTTTTCAAAGTGCAATGGGAATAGAGGCTGCAATTCACAATAGTGTCAGAAACAATCATATTTGATCATAATAGTATTTAATAAGTTCTTATTGTTATATTTCTAATGTGACATCGGATTTAAAAAAAAGGCTTCAGAGCCACTACTGGCTATTAGAGGCCAGTAAAGCTAACCTCAGCATGCAGAAAATTGGTTGAAACTATAAGTAAAGAGCAGAATTATCTCACACATAGGTGAATACGATTTGTTGGGGAAGAGTCAACATGGCTTTTGTAAAGGGAAATCATGTCTCACCTCTCTATTAAAATTCCTTGAGGGGTCTACAAACATGAACAAGTGTGAACCAGTGGATATACTGCACTTAGACTTTCAGAAAGCTATTGACAAGGTCTCTTGCCAAAGGCTCTTACGCAAAGTAGGCAGTCATGGGATAAGAGGGAAGGTCCTCTCATGGATCAGTAACTGGTTAAAAACAGGAAAAAAAGGGTAGGAATAAATGGTCAGTTTTCACAGTGGAGAGAGGCAAATAGCGGGGCTCCCCAGGAATCTGTACTGAGACCAGTGCTGTTTAACATACTCATAAATGCTCTGGAAAAAGGGGTAAACAGTGAGGTTGCAAAGTTTGCAGATGATACAAAATTATTCAAGATAATTAAGTCCAAAGCAGACTGTAAAGAGTTACAAATGGATCTCACAAAACTGTGTGACTGGGCAACAAAATGGCAGATAAAATTCAATGTTGATTAAATGCAAAGTAATGCACATTGGCAAACTTAATCCCAACTATACATACAAAATGATGGGATTTAAATTAGCTGTTACCACTCAAGAAAGAGATCTTGGAGTCATAGAATCATAGAGTTGGAAGGAACCTCAAGAGGTCATCTAGTCCAGTCCCGTGCACTCATGGCAGGACTAAGTATTATCTAGACCATTCCTGACAGGTATTTGTCTAACCTGCTCTTAAAAATCTCCAATGATGGAGATAGGGTGACCAGATGTCCTGATTTTATAGGGACGGTCCCGATTTTTGGGTCTTTTTCTTATATAGGCTCCTATTACGCCCCAGCCTCTGTCCCGATTTTTCACACTTGCTGTCTGGTCACCCTAGATGGAGATTCCACAACCTCCCTAGGCAATTTATTCCAGTGCTTAACCACCCTGACAGTTAGGAAGTTTTTCCTAATGTCCAATCTAAACCTCCCTTTCTGCAATTTAAGCCCATTGCTTCTTGTCCTATCCTCTGAGGTTAAGAAGAACAATTCTTCTCCCTCCTCCTTGTAACAACCTTTTAAGTACTTGAAAACTGTTTTAATGTCCCTCTCAGTTTTCTCTTTTCCAGACTAAACAAACCCAGTTTTTTCAATCTTCCCTCATAGGTCATGTTTTCTAGACCTCTAATCATTTTTGTTGCTCTTCTCTGAACTTTCTCCAATTTGTCCATTTCTTTCCTGAAATGTGAACATCTGCTCAATGTGCAGCAGCAGTCAAAAAAGCTAACGTTAGGAACTGTTAGGAATGGGATAGATAATAAGACAGTAAATATCATAATTCCCCTATATAATTCCATGGCACGCTCATACCTTGAATACTGCATGCTGTTCTGGTTGCCCCATCTCAAAAAATATATATTAGAACTGGAAAAAGTACAGAGAAGGGCAACAAAAGTGATAAGGGGGATGGAACAGCTTCCATATAAAGAGAGATTAAAAAGAGCAAGACTATTCAGCTTGGAAAAGAGATGACTGAGAGGGGATATGATAGAGGGCTATAAAACCAAGAATGGTGTAGAGAAAATGAGTAGGGAAGTGTTATTTACCCCTTCATATAACACAAGGGGTCACCTGATGAAATTAATAGGCACAGGTTTAAAACAAACAAAAGGAAGTACTTCTGCACACAATGCACAGCCAGTCTCTGGAACTCGTTGCCAGGGGATGTTGTGAAGGCCAAAAGTATAACTGGGTTCAAAAAGAATTTGCTAAGTTCCTGGAGGATAGCTCCATCAATGGATATTAGCCAACATGTTCAGGGATGCAATTCCATGCTCTGGGTATTCCTAAGCCTCTGATTGCCAGAAGCTAGGACTGGATGATAAGAGATAGATCACTCGATAATTGCCCTGTTGTGTTCATTCCCTCTGATGTATCTGGCACCGACTTCTGTCAGAAGACAGGATACTGAGCTAGATGGACTATTGGTCTGGCCCAGTATGGCCTTTCTTATGTTCTTATCAAGCATGCTATGACACTGACTATTTTGCTAGAACCATAGGGAACACTCACAGACACAGGGATGCCATACCATGCATTACGGGCCATGTGGAAGAAGCCATGGAAGCAGTTATTTAAAAAGCTGACAAACGGAAAGTTCAGGCAAAGCAGTGTGGATGGGGTGGGAATGGTGTGAAGCTGAACAAGGGAAGATAAGTAGGGAGAGGCAAAGTTATATGCAATGTTTCTCAATGGCTGGTCTGTGGACTGGCGCCAGTCCACAAGATCTCCCTACCGCAAGTCCACGAGAGCTCCCTAACGCAGTTAAGGAAGGCAGCAAGCCAGTCCCTGATATCAGAAGGGTTGAGAAATGCTGATATACAGTATGGAAGGTGATCACAAGCAGTTTGAATCTGAAGCAATAGTAGATGAGCAGTCAATGGAGGGATTTGAGTAGGGGAGTGATATGATCAAAATGGCAATCAGGGAAGGTGACATTAATGACTACATTCAGTCTTGCCAACCCCCAGCATTCAAAATTCATGAGTCAGGCCCCATAAATCATGAGATTTTCAAATTTTATCAAATTATTTTGGGATTTTTTTATTTGTCTTTTGCTTTTTGAGTCTTTAGGGTCAAGTTTTTCCACTTTTCTCTGCAACCACAAGATCTGGAAACTTTTTTTTAAATGAAAGCGGAGACTTTCCTATAATTACATAACTCTAGGAGCTGGGGCTTTAAACCACCAAATGGTGTGAGACTTGTAATAAAATCACGAGAGCTTCGAATGCTGTGTTTTTGATATGGACTAAAGGGACTGGGAGCCAATAACTGTACAGAGGAAACCAGAGAGAAGGTTGTGGCCGTGGTTGAGGCAGGATACAATGAGGGCCTCAATGATTGATTTGGCTGAGAGAATAAAAGGATGGGTTTTAGAGAGATTGAGTAGGAAGGAGTGACAGGATTTGGACACGGCCTGGATGCAGACACATTCTCTCTTTCTCGCTAGGACTCAGGACATATTTGCATTTTTTAAAGACATTTTCTCTATCTGTAAAATCAGATTATTGACTACTATTGATATTTTCATCTATTAAAACTGATAGCTTTCAAGTCCATCATACATGGGCACCTTTACTTGTTTGGTTCCTTCATTTCCAGTTTGTAGCAACGTACTGATCTACACTGTAAATATCATCCCTATTGATTATGATATTCATATCTTGCTCTAAATCAACCCTAGCTTCAGACACTCTTGAAGTGTCCTCCTTGCACTGAAAACAACATCATTAGCATACCTGATATTACAACATCTGTTCTCTCCCATTAACACATTCTGTTCAGAACACTACACTTTTCCATTTCAGCATAAAGATGGAATAGCTGTCGTGGCAGAACAGAGCTTGACTCTTGGCCTACTTTCCTGATATATAACTGCTTTCTTGTGCCTTTTTAATTCTGAATTATGACCTTTTGGTTATGGCACAGACAAATTGGCCAACTGCAACAAAATCCTGTTTTGTGAAAGCAATTGCTTCTGTTGTGTAGACTCATGCTTCATTTAATCAGATGTTTGCAAAGAATACTCCTCATACTAAATGTTATTAGAAATACACCCAGGAACATGGATATCTGGATTGTTACAGCCCCTCCTCTGCTTGTTTTTGACACACATTCAGTTGTATGGTGTTCTACTCAACAGCTTCTACCAAAACACATTTCTTTACTTGTTCTATGCACAATGTGTTGTGTGCCTAGATGTCATGGTGGTACGTGTAATAAATAATAAATGTGATTCCTCTGGATTGTGGACTGAAATGATTTCTGAGGATGAAAGATATGAGAAATTCACATCCTTTAATAATTAGCACAGTGTGAAGAGTGTACGTTTAGCTTAGCAGTGGAGGACAGGAATGGATGGTCTGCAAAAAAATTGTCTAAGTTCCCAACTCTTTTTAAAAAACTATTCTGATTGGCCATAGGCCAAGAAACACTGTTTTCCAACAGAAATACACATCCTGCATTCCCTTAAACCTTCTCACATTGCTTCTAAAGTAAGAAGCAAACACAGGAAATCTTGATGTTTGAAATGTCAGTGGAATTCAGATGAACGTGAACCATAAATGCCCTCTGGACGTTCTTTATGTTTGATATATTGAACTCCATCCAGCTTTCTGTGGACATTGGCCAT